AAAAAAAAAAAAAAAAAAAAAAAAAAAAAAAAAAAAAAAAAAAAAACTCCATTATCTTTCCAAAATTTTTCATTTTCAGCACTCCACAGCAGAAGCCAAAACCCTTCATTTTGGTTTTATTTTTCCTTCATTGGTCTTAAAGCAGCAATCCCATGCACTGATGCATATGATTGGAGCAGCCCTCGGGTGTGTGGCAACAGCAAGGACAGCACCTCCACCTATAGTGATACTTTTCCCAGTGGCAGTATTGCAGCCATTGGGAGAAGTACGTAATGAAACCAAGCAAGAATTATACAAATTCAAAACAGAATTAACACTTCGGAGTTCCAGTTGGCTTTCTCTGAAATTACCACTTCCCGATTTATTTTTTGAGAGTATTTTCAGGATATTTGTTCTGAACAAACCATTGTTAAAATAGTGTGTGTGACCCTGTGATAAAGGTACTATTTTGTTAAAAAAAATATTCAGCAGAACTGCTACGAACCCTCTCTTTCATCGCTTTCTTACCCATGTCTCTATCTCATCTGCAAGCTATCCTTCACCCACAATTAACAATAAATAAAAAATGAAGAGAAGACTTAGGAAAAAAAAAAAATAAGACCTCAACACTTCTGATATACTTCGATCTCATACGAAGCCCTGTTAGGTGAAAACCATCACTTTTAGTGTCCTCTGGAGAGAGAAAGCTTCTATCTCCATGCCACTTCTTGGCCTTGTTTTGGGAGTTGCTTTTCTCCAATCTGTTGAGTGGATTCAGCCTGCTGCAGCCATGAGCCACCTGCTTCTGGGGGCTGGTTTAATCAGCCACACACAGGTCAGAAGTTTGCAGCAATGAAAACTGCAAGAATCAGAAAGGCGATAGAATGGTGATACAGGAGGTGTAACGATGAAGGGCCTAGCGCAGCAGAAAGGCGTTACAAGGAAAAGAGCTCAACCATCTCTGAAGATCTAGGCTCCACAAAGGAGGAATCTCCAACGGAGATCCTTCCCAGAGGCAGTCAGCCCTTAAATGAGGTCTAAGAGAGGTGCAGCAGGCTCCACCCCTTCCAGTCACACAATTGAGTTGCCTTCACCTGTTCCTCGATCGCTGTTTTGAAAGAGACTTACAAAGTTCAACGCAAAGACATTATTGGCAAACCCATGAGTAATAAGACCTGAATCTAAAACAAACAAAGCATCCCAAAGAAAAAGGCTGGAGTCTGCAGAAGTCCATCAAACCCCAGGGTTCTGGCCTTCCCAGTGCCTGGTTTCCAATGCCCGTCCTTACAGAGGAGAACAGCACCATGTAGCAGAAACTACAGATACTCTCCAAAGACTCCTAATAAAACCATGAAAGAGAGATGCTTTTACACACTTGGTCTGGAACTGCAAACATGTAGTTTTGCCTATTTCAAAAGCTGTCTAACCCTAGACAGTCAACAGACGCAGTAGGTAACTACTAGATAATCAAATTATCTACTACATTTTCAAAATAATAATTATGAAAATGAACGTCCTTTTAGTGAGTTTTGAGAAAGTGTGTATGAACACTGATACTGTTTAATCACAAAAGCGCTAATTACTGAAACCATCAATTCTCTACACAGCTGTTTGTCCTTCTCCTCTGGAACTAATATTTGATTATTTCACAAACACTGCTTCACTTTGATGTCACGTGGATAATATTTACTCATTCCTGAATGAAATGGTTGGAATTATGTTAATGTTTTAGATAGTCTTCAACTGCCATCTGCTCAGTGCTGTGCCCTTATCAGTGTATTTCCTGTACAAGCTGAAGAATGGCAGGGCAGAAAGAAAATACATTCGTTATTATCCTGTATTTTTTGCAGATTTACCACTCAATTATTATTATTTGTCCTCTGATAACATTTATTGCTTTCAAAGCCTCTGTAAGAGAAGCAGACGAGCCAAGAAGCAGCATGTTATGGACGTTTTAGAAGCAGAAGTCCATTCAGAATTTAGTAGCACATGTGACTAGTCCTATTTAACCAGAACCTCAGCCGATGAGCTGGTGGAGCAGCAGCTCACTGCAGGAAGGGACAAATCCAATCAGAATACAATTGCCATAGTAGGAAGAAGTTATATAACAAACACAGAACTGCAAACAGTGTGAAGCAGCAGAATCAGCCTAGTCCTGTAACAAGCAGGCAACTCACAAGCATTAATCCATCACTCATCTTAATAATTCTGCTGAAGCAATTAGCGTACTGACACATACTAACCTGTTACTGTCTTTATACATGGGAAGAGTATTTAAATGAAAGATAGCCACACTGAGAACAAACAGTTGTAGAATTCATTCGCACCCATATTACGTGTTTTCATCTACCTTAGCACATGCTGCCGTTGAACCGCAGAACGCCTTGGGTTGGCAGAGCCCCTAAATCCCTCCCAGCTCCGAGCCCTGCTGTGGCCGGTTGCCCCCACCAGAACAGGCTGCCCAGGGCTCCATCCTTTCAACTGCTGCCTCTTCTGCTTTCTGCCTAAAAGTGCTCTTTTCATTCTGCTCACCTGAAGCATCGCAGAGTTACAGTTTGGGTTTGAAGATGTTTTTCAAATTCTTTTCTAAAAAAAGATCATAATTAAACTTAAGTATATCCATATATTGTCTGTCAGCTCAGTGAATAGCATCTTTCTGATGTCAGTAAAAGTAACAAGCTCTAAAGAGCTTAAAATAGCACTTTATTACAAGTGCAGTTTATGTGGAAAACTATAGAAAGCACATGCTTCTAAATCCTACTGACTGGGATCTCAAAAATAGATAAAATGCACGTTTACAGATTTTAAAATCTAGGAATCCACTACATAATAGAGATGATGAGCAAGTGGCTTGAATGTCCATTTTCTTGACCATATCCATACTCAAGATTTAAAGTGTAAAATGTCTTCCAAGAGGAAGTGACACCAAATTTTGCATTGCCCTCTACAAAAGTCTTTTGTTTTTGCATATTCTTTTTTTGTATTGGTTTGGGTGAGCAGAGTATCCCAATACAAAATATAACCCTGACTACTTTTTGTCTTATTTAGAATGTCACAAAAAAAAAAAAAAACCAAAAGACAGGAAACCTACCACAGTGTAGCCTTATCATTTGCACATAAACTCACAAAAAATACAAGTTTTTGAAAGCTAAATGTAAATGAAGTGAATTACACTAAGCAGTCTAGCAGGAGATCTAGCTGAACATTTTGTGAAAAAAAAAAAATACATATATATATGCATGTATAATTATAAAAACTTGTACAGAGGAAGGAAGGAAGAAGAGAAGAGAAGGGAAGGAGGAAAGGCAGGGGTTGCACAGACTCTTTTCATTTGTTTGGCTGAGCAGCAGCTCCAAGCACGTCTTTTTGCCTGCAGGCTAAGGAAGAGGCCAAAGGTCTCCATTGGAGCTCACCAATGCCACAAATGTCCTGATTTATTCCCAACCTCTCAGCAGAACTTTATATACTTATGGGGTCCAATGATTTGGAATTAAATGCTCTATTGTATACATTTCTGAAACTCATTTTTCCTTTTCACTCTACACAGGAATAAGGTCTAATATGTCCTGAACACACTGAGAATCTGTTCAATTTAAAATTCAGGGTTTTTTTTCCAAAACAAATTACTAAGAATGGAGTGAAATGTGTTTTCCTGACTAATTAGATTCCTTGGCTTCAACTAGGGTGCAATTACTCAACAGAGTTTATGTTCTTCCAGCAGTTCTCTCCTTTACCTATGTTCTTCACTATTTTTACAGTTTATCACATCTTTTCTTTATCTGCTTTGAATATCTAACCTGGAATAGAGCCTCTCTGAAGTACCAGCTCTTCTCTTAGCCCTTGTCTGAAAGCTTCATTTCTTGCTAGCCTTCTTTCTCAACTTCTCTTTCCTCTTCTTTTCTACTGTCATGTCACTTTTTTTCTGGTGATTCCCCATTATTGATGCTTCCCACTCTGTGTGTTGCCCACCTTCCTCACATTCCTACACCAGTCCTGGTCATCTCAGGCCTAAGCAATTGGCTGTGGTGGGCAGCAGACTAAATTCCTAGTCAG